GAAGTCATTTCATTCAGATCTTTCATTTGTTGAGATTGTTCTTCAATCAGTTCGTGTAATGCATTAATACTATATAACAAAATCAGTTAGTGATAAAAGAATACTTTATTCTTTCATAACTTACTCTTCATCTGTTTGAGTTTCGACATGTTCATACTTGACTGATTGTTTCAGATCAACTGCTTCTTTCAGTTGCTGAATTTCAAGTTGACTAAAGATTTTTGTGATTAGAAAATATAATTCAAATAGCTAAGAATATTCTACCTATTTTGTGACTCTTGTGTTTGTTGTTGACCAAGCAACTCATATTCAGTCACTATTGATGAATAATCATTTCGAACCTGTTCTAGTTCAGCTTCGACATTATTTAAATTTTGTTGCAACAAACTTTGTTGTTCATCTTTTTGCGAGAGATTCTGTTGAAGTTGATGGATTTGTTGTTGATAATCATCCACAATCGATGAACTAGAAAGTAAAACACATATGTGAACTGACTATGACTATAGCAATTGAGTTTATTAAAACCTGTTTTCAGCAGAAGGTGAAGTGAGTTGTTCCTGAACTTGATCACGTTCACTTTGTAATATATTAATGTATGCTGTTTGATTTTCTATGGTTGAGATTAGATGATCAAGACGTTCAGTTGTATCTTCACTAACGCCATCAAAGAGATCAGGTTTTTCGTTTACGACACGATGTATCTTATCTTTAATTCCTTGTAATGAACGTTTCAGTTTTTTATTCATTTGCGCACCTTTGCCTTCCTGGAGTTCTTCTGTTTGACATTCGTTATCTGTAGTTTCGGCGTGAGACGATTTACTGTTAGCTATTTCTTCCATCAGATTTTTAATTTGACTTTCACGTTCATTAAGACGCTCTTCAAGTTCTTTCCTGTTTCAATTAAATAAACGTTTCATTTAATACAATACACATTATATCAAATATTACTTTTCGTTATTGATTTCGTTCAGAGCTTTCATTTGTTGAGATTGTTCTTCAATCAGTTCATGTAATGCATTAATACTATATAAAAAAATCAATTATTGTGAGGAAATATTTTACTATTAACTTACTCTTCATCTGTTTGAGTTTCGATATGTTCATGCGTAACTGATTGTTTCAGGTCAGCTGATTCTTTCAGTTGCTGAATTTCAAGTTGACTAAAGATTTTTGTGATTGGAAAGAATAATTTAGGAAAATAACGATATTTTACCTATTTTGTGACTCTTGTGTTTGTTGTTGAACAAGCAACTTATATTCAGTTACTATTGATGAATAATCATTTCGTATCTGTTCTAGTTCAGCTTCAACTTTATTTAAATTTTCTTTCAATAAACTTTGTTGTTCATCTTTTTCTAAGAGATTCTGTTGAAGTTGATGGATTTGTTGTTGATAATCATCCACAATCGATGAACTAGAAATTAAAATTGATATATGAAATAACTGTGACTATAGTGAACGAGTTTATTAAAACCTGTTTTCAGCAGATGGTGAAGTGAGTTGTTCTTGAACTTGATCACGTTCACTTTGCAATATATTAATGTATGCTGCTTGATTTTCTACAGTGGAGATTAAATGTTCAAGTCGTTCACTTGTATCTTCACTGACACCATCGAAGAGATCAGGTTTTTCATTGACGACACGATGAATCTTGTCTTTAATTCCTTGTAAGGCACGCTTCAATTTATTATTGACTTGAGCTAGTTTCTCTTGTTGTCGTTCATCCGTTTGACTTTCATTATCTGTAGTTTCAACAGGTGATGATATGGTGCTTTTTTTTAGCTCTTCTGTGAGATTTGTATTTTGTTTGAGGAGATCTTTTAGTTGCTTTTGATAATGAGCTAATTGCTTTTCTGTTTGTTCCCTATATAATCAAAAAATTGGTTTTACTAATTGAAATGGCTGAATGAAACTCGTACTTTTCATGGTCAAGTTTAGCATGGGTTTCTAATTGAGATAAAAGTTCTGTGTTTTTGTCATTTAGATGTATAATTTGCTGAGATTGTTGGTTAATTACTGTCTCCAATGATTGAATACTACATCAATAAAAAAACTATATTTAAAAAGTAAAGAGAAAGAAAGCGCATATTCACTTTTTGTCGGTTTGGATTTGTGCATGTTGAGTAATAGCCGATTGCTTCAGTTGATCTAATTCATTTTCTAATTCTTCGATTTTATTTTGACTAAATGTATTTATAATTGAAGAAAAAAACTATTGAATTAGTTTAAAATATACTACCTTTCAGTGGTGGAAATTTCTTGTTGTTCAATCAATACATCTCGTTCTTGTTTAAGAAATTCATATTTATTTACTGTTGATTCATGATCATCTAGAGTTTTTCGAAATTCAACTTCAACTTCATTCAAACGTTCACGTAATAAACTTCGTTCTTCATCTTTTTGTGAAAGATGTTTTTGAAGTTGATCAATTTGTTTTTGATAATCTTCAGATAGAGAATCTTCCGAATGGATTTGTGTTGTTATCGATGACGACATATTATCAATTTGATCTCGATTTGTATTTTGAAGTTCATCGATTTTCTGCAAAGCATGATCGCGCTCGTTTTGTAAAATTTCAATAGCAGAAAGTAAATTATCCAATCGTTCGACAGTATCATCACTCGAATTAACAAATAATTCAGGTTTTTCATTCACAATTCGTTGAATTTTTTCTTTAATATTTTGTAATGCACGTTTCAATTTATTATTAATTTGCGCAAGTTTATCTTTTTGTTGTTCATCTGTTTGGGTCTCATTGTCAACAGTTTCAATATTTGGTTTCTCAACATTTGATACAATTTCAGAATATTTCTCATTCAATTCTTGTACTTGTTCACCACGTCCAACTAATTGAGATCTTAAATTATGAATTTCCCTAAAAATAACAATATATAATCGATAATGAATAGTAAGTTATTGAAACATCTGGTTCAAAAAACTCATAGAAATGTTTCTTACTCATTATTGGTTAATTTTTCACTTTGAAGTTGATTTCTTTCTTCTATTATTTGTTCAATTTCTTGTACACTAAAAAAATATTTAATAGTAAAGAATTTGAATAGTTTCCTATGATTGATCAAACCTTAATGTTGGTATTGATATATCTGATTTAGTTTTCAAAAGATCAATTTGTATTGCTTGTTGTTCAATAGCTGAAATTAAATGATCTAATCGTACGATAGTATCATCAGTTGACTCAGGAAATAATTCCGGTTGTTCAATAACTATTCGATTGATTTTGTCTTTGATAGTTTGTAGAGCACGTTTTAATTTCGTATTAGTTTGTGTTAATTTATCTTGTGGTTGATCATCTGTTTGAGTTTGATTATCAATAGTTTGTTTAGAAGAATCATCTTTTACAGATGAAATTTCATCATTATCTTCATATTCTGTTTGAGTAAAAGTATTAATAGATATCGATTGATTATTAATGCAATCTAAAGAAATTATATTTGAAAAAAGAAAAATTACTTCATTAATTTACTAGATAAAACTCGTAAGTTTTCATTTTCATTTTGAACTTCTTCAATAATTGTTTTTAATCGAATTATTTCTTGTTCATTCGATGTCTGATCCACTGTTGATATTTGTGGTATTATGACATCTTCATTCCAATCATTATTTTCATTTTCTGTTTCTGTTTGAGTAAAAGTATTAACAGATATTGATTGATTATTGATGCAATCTAAAGAAACTATATTGGAAAAAAAAGAAAAATTACTTCGTTAACTTACTAGATAAAACTCGTAAGTTTTCATTTTCATTTTGAATTTCTTCAATAATTGTTTTCAATCGAATTATTTCTTGTTCATTTGATGCTTGATCTTGTGTTGATATTGTTGTATCTGCATTCCAATCATTATTCCAGTTCGAATCTTCAGAATTTAAATTACATTGAATATCAACATTATGTGATTTTTTGCTTTCAACCGAGCCTAAGACACACAAAATCATATACATTTGAAAAGAATTCGATTATGATGCTGTCGAGACTACAGTAGTTCTTTTTTAACATATATTCAATATGGGTACGTATATTATTTCTATCGATGAGACTAAATGAATCTCAGGAATTAATACTATCATAATAATGAAACTCGGAAAATATATCTAGGTATGATCGAAATAGACACAGCGGATTATGTACCTCTTCGCCGAAAAACAAATCACTGAAAAGTCGAAATAGAAATCGACGAATTCTTTCAAAGGTTTATACCAGCATTCTTCTATTCGGTAACGATACCGAGAGAACAGCACCTATCATTCGACAAATACAGTTATTAGATTGGTCGATGGTACAACATTGAAATTCTGCCATCTGTCTTTCGGCTAGAGCCCGTCCGATCCGGGTCAGGTCCGGGTCTGAAAATTTTGTTTGAACCGGGTCCGGTCCGGGTCAGCTTATCGAAGCTTTTATTGACCGAGTCCAAATCGGAAGAAATATGTTATCAACATAATATTTTTTTTTAATTTTTTAAAATTTTTATTCGTTTCATTCAAAAAGTCTTGAATTTATTTATGGAAAGAATAGAAAAACAACAAGAAAACTATTTTCGAAGCAACCATTAGATTTCAAGTAGAAAAATTTACTGAGAGTCTAAAAGTACAGTTCGAACTCAGGCTAGTGCTCATCAGGATTAGATCCGACTTGGATTCAGACCTAGCTTCGGATCCGGGTCCAAAAAATTGTGGACTCGACAGGCTCTACTTTCGGCGAAGTGCACACATCTCGAAAAACTTCAGTAAATATCAATAAGTTATAGATTAGGGAACAAAAACTGTATCGAATCTCAATAATAACTAGTATTCATATTTTAAATCTAGTAGGAATAACTTCTTACCATTATCTTCTTTTTCTTGAAATTTTTCTTGATACATTTGTGCATTATAATCTTTTAATAATTCATTTTCATTAATAAGTTCATTAAAATCTAGTTTTAATTGATTATATTCCTTTTCTAATTCTTCATATTTATTTTCTATTGTTTGTTGATTTTCTTGAGTTAATTGTAATAAATTATTTTTTAATTGATTTTCATTTAATTCATATTTTTCAATTAAAGCTTTTGTATGTATCTGTTCTAATTCAATTTGTTGAAGTAATTCATCATTTTTTAATCGAAAAGAATTTAATTGTTCAATTAAATCAGTTTTTTCATTATTTAATAATTCATATTCTTGTTTTAATGCTCGTACAATTGTTTCATTATATAACTGTTTAGCTTCATCAGTTAAATGTTGAGTATAGAGAGAATGAAGTGCAAGTAAAGATAAATGATTCGATTCAAGATTAGGAAACGAAGTTAATGAAAGATTTTCTTTCGATAATATCTGTTGACATTGTTGATTAAGTTGATTAGAAACTTCAGTTGGTGATAGTGAAGATATTTCATTAATATATTCATTTAATCGATCATCATCATCTTCATAATTATTCGATAACTTTTCAGCTTCATCCTAAACAATAAAAAGATGTATAGGTTTCAAACTGGTTCTATGAAAAAGAAATTAACTTACAGTAGACCATAATTGATAGAATGATTCCGTTTGAATTTGTTTATCAATCGTATCGATTTGTATAGGATTATTTTCAAAAATGACTGGAGTTGTTGCAAGATTATTTTCATCAGAATTACTTGTTGCTTGATCATGAAACTAAAAAATAATTGTAATAGATATAATACGAAAGAGAGAGAGAGTAAACAAACTTCTTCATTTGATACAACTGAATTTTGTTGCTCAAGTAGATTTGAAATCGATTGAGAATGTTGACCAACAACTATTGATCGATCATTCAATTGATTATTTAAAGTTTCAATTTCAAGAAGTAATTCTTTATTTCTTCTCTCAAATTCATTACATTCTTCTTTCATATTTAACAATTCTTCATTTAATTCTTTTATACTGTTAAGACAAGATTCTCGAATTAATTCCATATTATTGTCTGCTTCTACAAAAAAAAACAAAAATACTAAATACAATCTCTGTAGTGTATGTATATATATTACCTATTCGAATATCATAGTTTGTTTTTTCTAATGCTTCATAACGTTCATCTAGTTCTTTTCGTTCTCGTTTCATTTCATCAACGATTTGTCTAACAACTCCTTCAAATGAAACATTATAATCAATTGACACAATATCTTCAAATTCTTTTCGTAGAACATCAACATTTTCTTCATTGTTCAATGGAACAAATTCTAATTCATTTCCTTTAGATATTTGTTTTGATTCATCTAAAACAGACATATACATTTATATGAATATGAATACCAATCGTACTTACCATTCATTTGTTGTTCCTCAAGATCATTAGTTTTATTATCTAATTGTTCTTGCAAAACAAGTACCTCTTGATTAAGTTCATTGATTGTATTGATTTGAGC